GTTAAAACATATATTGTTCATTTGTTGTTCTTGTTCTCAGCGGTAATGTGTGCAATGATGTCGCTATATTGTGTCACCGTTATCTGGAGCTTAAATAGCTCCCCTGTTATAACCGCTAGTTCACAAAGGCCTACATGTAGGTCTAACTCTGTATATTTTGCTGCGAATTATTTACCATCTACACTGTTTGATTTCACGCTATGTAAAAACAGAACGTGTTTGGTAGTATTTGTTTATTCATGTTTTAAATGAGAAGGGTACGCTAGGAACTTACAGAGACAGAGAGACAAAGAGAAGGAGCGTCAGAAAGCGAGAGTGAGTGGGAGCGGAGACAGCGAACAGCTGATGGGTGAGCGACCTTTAGAAGTCTCAGGAGAGAGAGAGAGAGGGAGCGCAGAGGGAAGTACGTACAGCGATCAGCTGATGGATGAGCGACCTAGATCACTAGAGAGAGAGCTCCGCTGTCCAGTGCTGATTAACCTCAATTCATAGTTACAATAATGACACGATAAAGTCAAATATTCAGCTATAACTATGGTTAAGGTGATGAAAATCAGTTGGTGATACATTATTCATGTATGTTTAGCGCTACATTTGTGAAGTTTTATTGATTTACCTGCTTTGATTTGTATTTGGGTAAACATTAGTGTAAAAATATGATAGTAGGTAAAAAGAAACAGTTGGATTATTAAAGAATCTATTCAGTGCAGCTGATCAACAACTCTATTCACTTGTATGTATAATTAATATTCATAATAATAAGTCATATTATTTGTTTTTTTGTAGTATGCTGTCATAGATCCCTCAATGACAAAAGAAGGAGTCTACAACAATGTCCTCCAATCACATGGCTATGCATTAGATGCAATGATCCGAGAAGTGCGCCACAAAAACAGTGCAAGGCAACAACTGATGGCAGTAAGATTGCACAACTCTGCCTTACAAAAACAGATAGAAGAGCTTACAAAAAAGGCAGATGACCTACAAACGGAGCTGCTCTTCGTCAGGGATGGTACGTTTGTTATGTTTTAATAATGTATGTGGATGAAGTTTCTGAACAACACATTAGATGGAATAAAACCTTTATGTCACAGTTGAGCATATATATTTCTTTGTATGTGTGCAGGTCAATGGCAGGATGATCAAGGGGAGATACAACCTGTAACAAATGATGGAAACCGGGTGGAAGAAGAAGATGAGGAAACAGAGGCTGAAGTCACCCTGGAGGAGTCGTAACCAACAACAAGATGTTGTGCTGAACCACAGCACTCAACAACATTAAAGACAGACCAGAGCAGCAAAAGGACGCCAGTGTCTAAATGTAAATAAGAGTTTGTACATAGTTTTTAGATAATAAACGTTACTAATAAAAGGCTTATTTGTGTGTTTGGCTTATTTACTGCTTATTTGCTGGTTATGTCAAATTATGTGTACAAATGGAATATGATTCTCATTTCTTAACATAATATCAGTAGAAAATCTTCATCATTTGGAAGTTAATCTTAATCTCCAATAACATGTTAGTCACAGGTGGGTACTAACGAGTTACATTTACGCGGTTACATTTACTTGAATAAGTTCTTGAAAAAATTATACTTCTAGGAGTAGTTTTCAATCACTATACTTTAAACTATAGTTTAAATTCAATAAACGCTTAACTAACTATAGAAAGTTGTCAATTAACAATAAACTCTAAGCTACTTGATACAGTAGACATAAGAATAAAAATAACATACAAATACAATTCACCTTCAAAATCAAATAAGTAAACGTACAGAACTGTGAAAAGATAGATATAGATAAATATATAGGGCTGTATATGGGATTGTATTATTGTACAGTGGATAAAAGACATTAGCAGAAATTACATTATTGCACTGAAGTGGTGGATAAACTTATTGCACAAAAAAAGAAAGACAGAAAGAAGAGTGTCCAGGTATGTATGAGTAGGTTGTTATTATCATTGCACAGTGAGTGCCTACCACTGCTTCATTTCTTTCTGTCCTCTTTACCCTATTTCCTACGCCCCCGAGTGAAAAGTTGTAGAGTAGGATGGCATGAGGGACAAAGGAGTTTTTGAGCCTGTTTGTTCTACACTTGAGAAAGAGCCGTCTTTCACTGAACACACTCCTCTGGTTGCTGATGACAGTGTGCAAGGGGTGGGTGGCAATAATAATGTCAAAGACTTGGTCCAGTGTCCTCCTCTCTGCCACCGCCACCAGTGAATCCAGTTTCATGCTGACTACAAAGCCAGCCCACATGATCAGTTTATCCAGTCTTGAAACATGTCACAATGAAGAGTGGTCTCACTCGGCTTCTGGTGATCAGGGCTTGGAAGTGGGGTGATGTGAACATTTCAAGTTGTGGTCTGCATGTGTTATGACGACACGTGACGCGGCCGCAGCACGCCCCTACTTGCGCGCCGGGTGCGAGGTCCCGCCCAACGCTGCTTGCAGCTTTAATTAGGGACCTCGCAGCGACCGCAGGAGGTCCCTATTGTTTTTCCTATGTTTATTATTATTATTTCTAGTAAACTTTGCAACGCGTTTTTCAGCCCCGTCAACGAATTCTAATATTCAATTTTATTTGGCAGATTTGTCAAGCCTCATTAAACTTAGAGATTCTATGCGTCACATGCAGATCAGCCAGTAGGTAGGCCACTAGGTGGCGCTATTTGTAGGCCAATTTTGAAAGGCTAATAACTCCCGCATTGTTTGTCTCACATTCAAAAACCTTATATCCACGCGTTCGGTGAATGGAGCTGAACCTCCCCATATAGGCCACGCCCACTTCCGCCTAGATTTTTTTTTTTTCTAGAGCGCAAAATGTCCATAAATCACTTTTTGGTGTTCATCCTACACACTTTGTCCGATTCGCACGAAATTTTGCACGTAGCATCTGTGGACCGTCCTGACAACAAAAGTAATTTGAACATTTTTGATATTTTAAAAAATAAGGAAGTTATAAAATTAGCACTTCCTGTTGATTTTTCGTCAAAAAAGGAAGTGGGGTATTTCTCCACGTTGGTATGTCTGATTTACACCAACATTGGGTCCATATTTCCCCATGTCTTCCTTAGGCATCGTGCACAATTTCAGGTCATCACCACAAGGTGGCGCTCTTTAAAATGAAGGAGTTTATAGCTCTACAACGGTATGTGTGATTGAGATGAAACTTGGTACGCTGCTTCCCCATGGCTCCCTGAGGCTCCCCTAAAAAGGAAAAAAAATCATGCCACTAGGTGGCACTCTGGTGGCAGGGTAAATCACTGTGCAAAGATTGTCATAGTTATGAATATGAAATTCACAGAGCACGTGTAGAGTGGTGCCTGAAGCTCACATACCAAAAATCATGTTTCTCGTGCTTGTAGCGCCCCCTACAGGATAAAAAAACATCAGCCCCGGCGCCACGTTTCACCGATATGTACGAAACTCAATAGGCATGTATAATGTGCCGGAGCGTACAAAAAGCCTCTTGGACCCATACCTCAAATCCCACAGGAAGTCGGCTATTTTCATTTAAAATTTGCACTTTTGGCAGCCATTTTGTGGTCATTTTGACTCTTTGGGCTTGTTTTAGAACTAACTCCTCCTAGGGACTTTATCGGATCTGCTTCAAAATTGGTCAGTACAGTCAAAACATGGTGCTGAATGAACGCATTATATTTTGTGACTGTACGTTGAAGGGCGTGTCCGTGGCGTGCCCTCAAAGTTGGCCATTTAGAACAAATGTCACACTGTGATGTCATTTTTGCATTTCAGGGCTTCTATTTGAATGATCTCCTCCTACAAGTTCTATCGGATCTTCTTCAAAATTGGGCAGTACAGTCACAACATGCTGGTGAATGAACGCATTTCATTTTGTGACTGTACGTTGAAGGGCGTGTCCGTGGCGTGCTGTCAAAGTGGCCATTTTGAACAAATGTCACAATGTGATGTGATTTTTGGCTTTTCAGGGCTTCTATTTGAATTACCTCCTCCTACAGGTTCTATTGGATCTTCTTCAAAATTGGTCAGTCCAGTCAAAACATGGTGCTGAATGAACGCATTTCATTTTGTGACTGTACGTTGAAGGGCGTGTCCGTGGCGTGCCGTTAAAGTTGGCAATTTTGAACGAATGGCACACTGTGATGGCATTTTTGGCATTTAAGGGCTTCTGTTGTAAGTCCTCCTATAGTCCTCAAACGTTGAAGTCAAGGGAAAAGAAATCATTTTTAATTTCTGTAAAGGAAAAGGGGTCCTGAGATAACTTCTGTTATGGTAAATGTACCACTCAAAGCGCTATGAATTAGCAGTATACAAATAAATGTGAATAGAATTAAGAGTATCTGTGGGAGATTGCTATTGTTTTCATTATTAGTAGTAGTAATACTATACATGTACTTATACTACTTCAGATGGTTTAGCTTTAGCATCAGGATATGATTAATAGATGTTAATTTTAGGGCATAATTGAAGACTGCATTTATTGTGAGTGTGATGATATGGCTTTATGTATGGAATTGTCACAAGTTGATGTAAGGTTGAGAATGTTACTTAAAGTTGTTACAATATGTAATTCACTTAAATGTGGTCTTACGTCTTAAGTATTAATGCCAAAACAATCAGCACGACACCACAGGGAATTGAACCCCGTCCCAGTAAACCAGGAGTACCATTACTAGTGTCTTTTTGCTTTTTTGACAACACATGAAAGGTAAAGCAAAAACTGTATTAGCAACAGCATAACATTATATTAGCATTTAAGTATTTATAATTCAAATTATTTTGGATATTTAATGTAGATAACTTCAATGACTGCACTTGTGCAGTTATTAGTAATTAAATGTTTTTTAATAGAAATCATTATCAATACATGTTTTAGCTACAAATGCTGTTGCAATGCAGAAAGGAAACCCTTTTATCATATTTAACGTGCAGCAGAACAACCTACATAAACTTGCATATTAAAATATTCATTGTTAACATGATAGAAGCCAAACCAGCATGACCAAGGTCAAACACCATGCAATAACTTTTATTAGTATTCATTACAATTTATATTAAGATAATTCATAAAACACACATTATGACATTCACATTACCAATTATTATGAGAAAGAGTTCATAAATCATGCAGTAATCATAAACACATTACTGCATGCACATTATAAAATCATACAAGATAAATCATTGAACAAACACCTGTATGTTTGTAAACATGCATAATAGGCTTAGACAAGGCAATTCATAAAACATACAACATATGAAATTCACAGTAAACAATAGTACAAGAGAATTAATTGAACAACATTACATGAATATTAAAAATTAAGAAAACAAAATTCATACATATACATTATTATATACACATTATATATTAATTTAAGAGATTTCATAAAACACATTTTATAGTTATTCAAGTTGTCCATGATCATGTTCTAACTCCTAGATGTAAATGAACATAGGATCCCTTCATGGTCACTGAAATATGTCGGCAAGACAACAGACTGTACATCATAATGTGATGTTTTTACATACACATGATCAATTAATGTGCCTTTTTCTGTTGTTGCTTGTTTGACAATTTGGATAAACCCTTTGTCAGTCATGAACTTGCAGATAGTTGATGATTTCAAAATGTTGTCATTGAAATCTCCCATGACAGCAATTGTGGTACTTTGGTGATTGAGCCAATTAAGTAATTTTTCAAGGTTTTCTTTAAACAATGTTATGGTATATGATGGTGGTCGATAAATAACTGCGATTAATATATTGTATGCAGTGCAGTGGTAAACCAAACATTCTATATTTACATTTGGTACCGGGATAATACTGTGTGCCAAATTCTCTGCACTGTACATGCCAACTCCACCATGTTGTTGGTCTTGAATTTGTTTGAATAAGGGGTTGCTGCTATTGTAGGACAAACTCCTTGGATGATTGTGGAAATCATAACCATCCATTTTTACAGTTTCCAATGAGCAAACTGCAGGCAGCCATGTTTCAGTAACAGCAATACAGTTAAGCTGCAGATGCTGTGTACACAAAGCCAAATCAGTTGCATGTGGAGTCAAATTTTGCACATTCATCAAAAACACATTAAATGGTGGTGTAGTTAAATTACAAGCTGTAATATTTGTGACCAAGAAGGGAGGCATTGTTGCAATTGCATCCTCAATGTTATCTTTGCAATATATGGCTTTCTCGTCAAAATTCTGAATAACTAAACCCGACAAACTTCTAACTCGACTTAAAGCCACATATGCTTGACCAGCTGCAAAGATTCTCTTCAGCGAAACTACGGCTTTATCCACAGTAAGTCCTTGGACTTTATGGACTGTACAAGCCCAGGCAAGCTTTAGCGGAAATTGCCGGCGCAATCCACCATGTTTAGTCACCCTTTCCTCTTCTGGTTCAATGCCCGTGGAACCCGTTTCAACAGCAGAGGTAAATGCAGAGCAAGTCCTCCTTTTTGTCCCAACTTGATGATCATCAAACTTAACATAAATCATCTTTGGGAACTTATCATCATTATCGGGATAAACTATATGTGTGATGGTGCCACACACACCATTCACTAAACCATCATCAACATCCAGATTTTTTAACAGCATTACACGAGCATCTACTCCCAAAAGCAGGGTCTTATCCAGACACGTATTGTACGTTTTGCTATGATGTCCTTCCTTCAACACAAGCTTGCCTGTTTGCTTACTATGTACAAAATCTTTTGCATCTATCTTAACATAATCAGGACAACTCTTGAATAACTGTAGAACATTATGCTCATTTACTTGTTTGTTGGTAGGAAAAATGTGTAAAGCTGAGCTGACTTCACAACCAGTTTCACACTGCTTTAATAATTGTATATCCGAATCCAGCATGGGGGTCCCTTTTGAACGAGTTCTCACTCTGTTCAACAACTCTGCAAAGACAACATCTTTTGACGGACAACAGTTTTCAGTTCCGCAACCTGAAACTCAGTCCACAAGCCAACACTAATATCATCTAAATATAAAGCTTTCCCTTTCACTGGAGGCAACTGATAAAAATCCCCAACTGCAATTATGCTAACATTTCCAAACGGGGAATAGCCACCAGACTGTTTAATTTGTCTTAAACGTCCATGGATGTAGGCCAATAGTTTATGATCAACCATGGAAATTTCATCGATTATCAAAATCTGCAAGTTACTATATTTAGCACGCAAAGAATTGAGCTTTTCCTCACCCAGTGGCGTGTAAGGCAAGCGCACATCTTTACCAATGCCAAATGAACTGTGAATAGTACCTGCATGTAAATTGTGTGCAGCTATCCCCGTAGGAGCAGTTAGCAAAACGCAAATGTCGTCCGGATTGCGACAACCTCTTGACAATAACCTCATTGCCTCATACTGGATAGCCTTTATTAAGTGGCTTTTACCTGTCCCTGCACCACCTGTAACAAAGACACGCAACGGAGCTATTTTTTCACCATTAACCTTACTTAAACACCACTGTCTAATCTGGTAAAAGATAGAGAGCTGTGTGTCATTAAGAGATCTAATTAAGGCCAAGCCATCACTTCTGCACAGTACATTCTGTCTTTTTTCTAAATGAGAAACTTCTCTATTACTAATCGCTAAATCCGGAATACCTTCTACAGGCTCATCTGAAGGTTGTTCACTCTTCCTACGCTCTTCCAAACACTCTAGACGCTCCTGTTCTTGCTCCGGGCAGAGATCACACCAGGCATCTTCCAGAACTGCATCCGTGTCAACCAAATTGTGGATATTATCCAACTTTTCAGCATCAATTTCAAATCTGCTGCGATTTGAATCGACAACTGACTTAACCGAATGCAGCACTCCATCATTCAATCCCACATGACCATGACTATAAAATTGTTCAAACGTTTCAAAACCTGCTGGTTTCAGGTGCATGTCTATACGAAACGGCAAAAACAACTGCATAATACTCTGATAAAACAATTCTGGATTCTTTGTTTCGGAAAAGTGCGCATACCGAATCACTGCAGGGTCCGAACGTGTTCTTTTCAAAATGAAGCCACAATTGTTATCTAGTATTATCCTGTTAACAGACATCTGGGATTTGCTCAAAACACGATACTCGGAGGCAAATGTTGCCATACACATATCGTTAAAGGTATCGTCTCTTGGCCTATTCTTATATCTGTCAACAGAACTAGTCATCCACATATCTTCCGTGGTAAGGTCATGTGATAATGCCTTTTGTTTTAACATCGATAAAGGCAAACTCATTTTAACAGCGTGATCCCCGACTGGAACAAAAACAACTTGCCTAGAACACTCCTTCAGATGCATGCTAGTCAACCTGTAGACAGCCTCTTGTGCACACACATCTCGATTGTGTAAATACACACTTCCTAAGTTTTTAAGTGCATCTTTAGCACTGCTATTTCCCTCCCTAGCAGCTTCCCTCTGTGCATTCCCTAATAATAGTCCTATCTCACGCTCTGCTTTTGAAATGTAGGAAATAATATACACTACACAAGCATACGCGTCGACAACATATTGGATATCAATATTCGCATTCCAACATTTTAAAAGTGGTTTACTATATTGATTAATCCAAACCTCATTGGCTTGCCTTCTTAAAACAACATGCGTCTTCTTAGCACAAATATTGTAGGCTTTTTCAAACATCCTTTGATCTACCTGTACATAATGAAACAATTGCTCTACAGTGTCAAAACTGACATTGTCATCTGATAGGGCCATTTTAATTTTTGTTGTAATGTTCACTGCCATTGCTTTTTGTTCTAATTTTTTCTGTTTCCTAATTTTGCATGCACAGTCTTCCAATTTTTGTGCTCCATCTTTCTGGCATGTGCATGTTTTATCCTCCTCCTCGTCTTCAATAGGCGGGCGAGATATAAAAGTTCTCGCAGACGGGGGCTTAGGAAAATTAAAACGACAAACAGTTCTATTTTTTTTACATGTTTTAGAATGCCGTTTGGAATGCTTTTGCACAGATGAAACTATGTCCAATAGTGTCTCATCTTGTGCAGGTAATTCACATGTTACATAATTATCAATAAATTGAATTACCTCTTCATCAGTATTTTTGTCAATTATTGGTGCATTTTCGATCCAAAACAGGCAGTGAACATGTGGTGAACCACGCTGCTGGAATTCAACCCTATAGAAGTAATCTATGACTTTGCCAATGGGATTAGATGGAGACATTAAAACCTCTTTCAGAAAACAATGCCAGCGAAAATCGAACATCCTCGCTGCAGTAACGGGATTACGACGCAAAAGTTCGCATCTATCTGCCCACTCCAGCTCTTCGGCCGTCTCTGTCCTACCTTCCTGTTTCAATATGCTATTCAAAAGATTCTTCCACCGCATATCAGCAGAAGAAAATGAACAAAACCACGTGGGGATCCCCAGCTGACGAACACAAGCTAACAAATCACGCTGCACGCCCTGCCAAAAAGATGGGGTACCTCTAATAGGTTTGAGAAAGCGATACCCATCATCAAACTGCAACAACTGCTTAAACTGTTCTTCATCATTTAATACACTCGTAGTTACATTTTTAAATTGCCCTCCTTTTCCCTTTCGTAATGCTATTGATACACTTGACACAACCTTTTCAACCTCAGACATGTACTGAGCAAAGAAGATGTAATCAACATTTTGTGCAAATCTACCATCAGCATTTAAAATACGGTTATTAAAATAACGGCACAAAGTCAAGCGACAAGGTCTGCTGTCGTGGTATGTCGCAGATCCAGTCGGAAACAACACCGGGAAACATTTTGCTTCATTTGAATGATCAGACAACAACTTGACAGGAGTGTTGCCTTCTGCTGGAGCTACATTTAATATGTTATCAAAATACTGATCAAGCGCTTCTTGACCAATGTCAACAGGCATAAGACAAGTGTCCTGAAACATACAATGATGTTGTCTGTCATGCAGAAGCTCATCTTCCTCAGCAGCTGCATTACTGTCATCATTAGCATTACCATCTACTGCTGCACTGTCCTGTTCTGCCACACTCTCTTGTTCCCTACAAAACTCATTTAACCACTCTTCATTAAAATCTACATCCTTATAATGTAGATTATTCTGTTTCAAATACTGCAACGCCTGCTTGATGCGTAGACTATCCACAAACTGATACTCATAATGCCCTTTATATGTGAGCTTACGCTTCAGTTTGACAGGTAGCAAAGATCCATCCATGTCCGAACGCGGCAGCAAATTGCTCGTCTGCACAATATTAGCAGGAACACACGTTACAGGCCCGTGGACGCCATTTTGCCCACCTTTAGGCAATGCTAGCATCTTCATGAATGGAATATGCAGCGCTATTAAATGTTGCTCTAAACTATTCAAGCATGCTAATTCTGGTGGAATAAAACATGTTGCCAAATTATTCAAAGCACATTCCGGTGGCATATGACCTCTACTAATTTTAGTGTTACAACTGAAACAAATCCACAACTGACCCCTAGCTGAATCTAACCACTGACAAGGCAATACACAATCTGTACTACATTTATGCAAATATTGTTCACTAATACATTTACCTGCAATTACACTTATTTCTTTTCTTTTACTATAATCCTTCATGCTACACGGTAAAACTTGTTTTCTAAATAACTTTCTAAAACACACACAACAGACAAAATCCGGGCCATCATTGACTTTAGCCAAAAACTGCTGCATAACTAAATCAAACTCTGTCAATTTTGCATTTAAACGTTGCCTCTTCAATTTCATATATGCAACAACGCGCTGCCTATGCTGACGATTTCCATGATATTTCTTTATACTCCTGGATTTCATATTCTGCCTGTGCAATCTATTTTTACGGTATTTTGTTTTACTCATTTCCTTTACTGTGTCCCTGTGAGACTTATTTTTACGATATTTAGTTTTACTCATTTCCTTTACTGTGTCCCTGTGAGACTTATTTTTACGATATTTAGCTTTACTCATTTCATTCAATTTTTCCTTGTACCAATTTTTTGCCTGATAATTCATTTTCATCTTTTCTAGAAATTCTTGCCTGTTTTGCTGATATTTTATTCTTTTTTGTAAATTATTTTTTTTTACGAAATAGTTGGACAGAGACAACTTACGTATGGATTGGGCATTTTGTTCAATAATACCTGCTTCAGCTTCACAAATTGAGGATGCAACCGAAGTCAAATTGTCTGCACAAACAACACCTCGTTTTCTCAAATTGTACCTACACCCACCCACTTTGCAATACCCATAGCAACACTGCATGTTTGGCTGCTGAACACAGACAACACTCTCATAATGATTTCCATTGCAATTTTCTAAATAAATCCCCTGATTTGACAACAACTTGGACTTACAACTATATTCAAGCCAGCGACCATCACAATAAGTGAATATACTTACTCCGAAAAAATCTGCTGCTGCTTGAATCTCTACTTCTGTGGCCCAACTACCGACATAGGCCATTTTTGACATTGTGAGATATTCCTCCGTTGAAGAATACTCAGGTCTTAAAGCACCACCATTGGCTTTCAAATGCTTTACAACAGCAAGCCTGATTTTTCTGTGATGCTTTTGTGTACCACACACAGCCTGACTAACTGCTCTAAAGAAACAGTTACCATCCCCAACTATTTTCTCCTTCAGACAAGGAGCACCCAACGGACCAACTTCTGTCGAAACTAAATCTACTTTCTCTGACTCAACATTTAACTGTTTGCACAGAGTGTCTACAACTACCCCACAAAGTGGATTAAACTGGAGCCCTTCACTCACAACATCAGCTACAAAAACAACATCTGAATCAACTGCAGCATAATGACTGTTTTTTGCCTTCTTTGATGAAAACCCACTGCTTGATCTTTTGCGCTTAATACTTGTGCAGCCAACTGTTGGCTGAACAGGTAAACCACAGACCGACTGACTTCCCCTGCTTTCTACTAGTACCTTTGGACTGGATAATGAATTAACGGGTGGAACAGGACATCTGGGGATCACACAAACACTAGCAATCTCAAACTGTTTGGGATGTTTAAATGCTGTTGCATATTTGCACATGTGCTCAAAAACATCATCAAGGCAAGTGAAACGCACAACAACACTTTTCCCTTCCCCATCCACCATCCCATCTGCACTGCGCGCATGCGAATCAACCACAGCAAAACGACCACCTTGACTGATGACTGCGCATGTATTTCCACCCAATGTCAGAAAACATGTGTCATATTCACTAAACATCTTCTCTAATCCAGATCTGAGACTGGTCGTTACACCAGCTTTAATCAGATCACTTGTCACTTCATTAACAAATCCAGAAACGCAATCCTCATACTCAAAGTCAAACGTTTGTCCATCGATAACAGCCTGTTTGGGCAAATCAGGAACACTAAGCAGTTTCGAAACCTCACTGGTGACATTGCTGTCCCTCAACGTATTGTAAAGATTATCCCCCAAAACAACAACCTTGTCCAGATTGCCAGCCTGCCACGAAAACACACTTTCAATTGAGTGTTTTGCTACAGCTACCAAACTGATAGCCATACACTGAACTCCAGCGTGTTGAAACCGAGAATCTGCCTGATGGAAAGATCCCCTGACAGAACTTGCACTACTCTGCGGACTGCCACCCTCGACTACAGCTGCAGTTGCAACTGTGCCATCAACAGCTACATCTGTCAGCAATGTAGCACTGTCAATGTCAGAATCTGCCTTCACAGACAACCTGCTAATGAGACACCACTCTGCACCCAAAGACCTCTTAAGATCTTGGATATGCACTATCAGGTCACGCAGCGTTGTGTTAAAAACAGCTACAGACCTGCCGATATTAGATGCCAAACCAGATGCATCACAAGTACCACAATCAACTACCACAAAGTAACCATTGTGCTCAATGACAGCACTCACGGCACCGTGGAGGTTCAAGAGACACATTCCATCAGTCAACAAAGGTTCCTGTAGTTTTTCAAGTAACACAGACTCGTCCAAGTGGAAACCTCTGTAGACTGTCGAACCAATAGCTACATTGCACTTCCTGCCAAAAACACTGTGCTGTTTAACGAACTCACATAGGTCATTGTCAAAGCCACTACTCCTATTTGATTGAGCTACAAAACTAGCCAACTTCTTGCCTTCGAAACAGATCTCATCAATATCTCTGCCTCGCCATGTACACACAGGAGCAATAACATGTTTAAGCGCAGCAACAACACTGCACGCAATAGACACATCAGTTGTTGACGGCGCAACCATTACATTAGTACCAGAAACATCCTCAGTTGTCGGCGCAACTCTGACATTAGTACCAGAAACAACAGCCACATGCTTTTTCTCTGCACACCTGCAAGAGGGAGGGATAGCATCAACCTTACTTTTGATGAATCTTGATGGGCGCTGGATAGGAGGACCTGACCTGCTGACCTCCTCCTCCACAACCTCTTCCACAGCAGTGGTAGATGATGGTTCTGAGGACACAGTCACAGCACCTGGAGTTGCATCCCCCTAAATAAATCCAGAAAAAACATTAACAAAACTGTCATTTTGGCATTTGAGAGAACTTGCTAGTCATATACAATAATTTGGAACCATTTGTTTTGACCAATGCACACCAAATTAAACTGATTTAGAATAAAGTGTACCAACCTCCTCCGTTGCAACCTCTTCCACAGCAGTGGTAGATGATGGCTCTGAGGACACGGTCACAGCACTTGGAGTTGCATCCACCTAAAAGAAATGAAGAAAATACATTATCACAACTGTCATTTTGCATTTGAAAGAACATGCTAGTCATAACAATAATTTTCTATGTGTATTACACATTTGTTTGGGCCAAAGGCACACATGCACATAGAATTCAACTGATTAAGAATGAAGTGTACTAACCTCCTCCTCTCCAACCACAACATTGGCAGATGTCGGCCTGGGAGACGCCTCCTCAACACTGGGTGACGCCTTGACCTGTTTACGCAAAAAGAAAACCATGTAATTCATTATTGTTTTCAATCATTATAATTATTCATGTACTAAACAAGTAGAGTAAGGACAATCTTGCATTAGTGGTGCCTACCATTTATACTGCGCAATTCAATGATTACATTTATGAAATCAAAACAAACCTGGCACATTGCAAGTCTCCTCTTGCAGGCGACACGCTTCACTCTTGGCTCCACGCTTGGTGTCTGGTGTAAGAAAATCAAACACACTTTTAGAACAGATATAGGAGTGTTTTAAGGGAAAGAATACAATTTGCACAAAACTCATCAATCAACTCATCGCTCATTTTCAGCTTACCGTTGCGTCTTGTGGAACAGCTGGGCTGTCAGGGCTCGGAAGTTGTGCTGGAACCACAGCATCCATTGCAGCCAACATGGAAGTGCTGAACAGGACAGGATTCAGTGGGATGAAACACTCCTTCAGCACAATTGGACATCCATCCACCTGTGAAATACACATAGAAACACAATGTTACTCACAGTTGCTATTGAGTGCTATCAAAGTGCATAGATATACAATCAATATACATATGTCAACAATTCATGTCACGGTAAACTACAAACCTGATGCCGAACCACGCGCCGTTTTGATGGACTACAGAGCTGTCCCTCAGATTGGATCCTCTGCAAGGACAAATAACAACGACTTTATTAAAATGAATGCATGCTGAACGTTTTTGAGTTGACTATTTAGCAAAAATCAGTGGGAAAAACACAAGTACAGAATGCAAATATTACCTTCTTGCCCTTCACCATTTCCATCCAGACATACGGGTCTGGGGGGGAGACGAAGGGGGGAGCAGCGAAGACCTCTTCCTTCACGAGCAACCTTGGAGGGGTCCTTGGAACTGGGGACGGTGTTCTGGGAGCCTCCTTCGCCTTTGGTGCTGGCACCTCCAGTTGCTTGTAGGCAGCGTCCCACAGCACCTTGGAAAGAATCTCCATGCCATCGTCGTCGCTCAAGTGAACCTGAAATGTTAGAATCATACATTCAGTAAACATAACATTGACTTTCAATACATGTCTATTATAAATTCAACTGCAAATAACTGAAATGAAAAGATCTCGTTTGCACACAGTATATGCTACTTACACTATCTCGGACCCACAGATCCAGCTGACTGAACGGGAAATGTTCAAACGTGGAGTAGTATGCGATACCTAAGAAATAGAAAATTGTTATGAATCATTAATATACTTACATATATCAACTTCAGCAAAATAAGAAAGCATAAATCTATTTGTAATACATTGTAATGTTCAGTCAAACACTATCTGAGAAAATACAACTCATAAAACATGGAACTTCAAGATCTACTCGAAACATACCCATTTTCTGCGCCACAGAATGAAACTCCCGGCTCATGTGCTCCTGCAGTTCTGGTGCAACGGTCAGACGTGGAACAAAGTCCACCACAAACACCTAAAACACAGAACAGCAGTTTTTAGACACAAATCTAGTTTTGGTCAATATGACCATCCATTTAAATACATATACGTTATACTACAACACCTCATTTCAGAATTGTCATTACTGAACAAAACTTATAATGTTACACAGAATCAACAAAATAACTTACATTTGCACAACGCTGACAAGCACTGAGCAAAAGCTCCCGGAACTCTTCTCCGGCCACCTCGTGGGTACTGCTGGTCGTCAGGTTGTTGCCGGGGGCCAAGATGCACACTGCGTCAGGTGTCCTCGGCAGCACTGCATGGATCAGCTCGGCCCTCAGATGACACGCGCTCGCCCCTGGGGTCGACATGATGCCAAAGGAAAGGTTTCCCTTCGAAAGCCCGACAGTTCCATCAGCAAAGGGACGCAGATGTGAATCCCCCACGAGAAGGACGAACTGGAAGAATAGAAAGAACCTATTTAGAAATCACTCGTCACAATTTACCCCAAATATTTGTTCACAAATTCAAAAACAATAGATTACCTTCTTCTCGGGAGAATGAGCAGGAACCACCAGCTTGTGTTGCTTTCCAGACACCGACCTGTCCCACTCTTTCACACGACGACGTTTCCCTGTACCACGGCCTATTAAGGGAAAGACATATATTACTTATCTGGATTACACAAATATTGACCTAATTTACAAAAACTTGTGCACATTGAACTTCGTGAAAGGGGGGGGGAACACATCTGGCTACTTACGTGGAACAAACTCAGGACTTGGTGGCAGAAAGTCCACATCCAATGGTCGTTCACCTGCCCATCTCCTCTTGGCAGCCTGAGAACGACGGTAGCCCTTCCCGCGTGGCATCTAAAAGTATATAATAGAATTGATTAGTGATAATAACAACAAAACACTATATGCTCAATAGCAAATTAAGATTGTAAAGAACTACTGAAACCAGTCATAAATTCTGATTCTTTACTACCACAGTATGAGTAAAGTCAGCTGCCATGTGCAAACCATGATAAGCAGAGATGCCATACACATTCACAGCTTTTATACACAGATACTAATAGCTGCTATGACTGCATAATAAACTCCTGCTTGTTAACAGCACATTACACATCCTTTCTACATCCTGACTTAGACAAAGAGAGCAGAACCAAAGTGACCACTTGTGTATGATGGACTAATACAAGGTGTGATAGGGTGTGGCATTCAGAAAGTGTGCCTCTCTTTCATACACAGATTACAATGTATTCACACATAATTAGTGAAATCATGGCCATTACTTATGTTAATAGCTCTGTGATTGCCATTCTTCATTCATTAACATAGTTGTTTGACTGAAACAACCATTGAAACTACTCAGACTACAGTTGGTTTCTTTATAACTACTTTACTTACTATTTGTGCTATTTACATTACACTAAATCTCTTTCCTCACTTTACTTCTACAAACTCCACATTACTCATTAATTGTAAACACAACAAATCATTCAAATGAAACATGTCCATTTGTAGTTGGAAATCATGGCAATGCCCATTCATATATATCAAACTAAATACAGATAGTACTGTGAGAATTGCTTTCCACCTAAAGTACATTTATTATGGTCAAGATTGCCATATATACTAGATATAGTTACACACATATTTATAAACACCTGTGTTAGGCCTTAGCTTCTTGTGCTGAGTACATACAGTGCTAGTAACCAACATTATAGTAACTATATGACTAAAACTTCTGCTGTTCATTCTTTACTAAACAACAGTTCACATAAAATCAACTACAGGCAACCATACAACTTTAAATAAACTCACCGGAAGAAGACCAAAAAGTCACGTAGTTCAAAACCTTGAAAGGGGTTGAAATATCTCTCTCGCACTGTCTCTAAGCCTTGCAAATGCAAACACAGCTCCTCTCCTCTGTTCTGCAAAAAGCAAGACCTAGTCTAAACTTTGAACAAGCCATTTATACCTTAACACCAAACGAATACAGCCAATCACAACGCAGGACAGAAAGGGGGCGGGACATCAACACAAACACCTGGAGAAACAATATTGTCAAACTTGTGACAATGATCGCAATCTTAACTTTACAACAAAACTCATGTCATAATGACATTCATTGTAAACTTAAATACAATTTCATAATTTACCAAATTACCCAAACACCACTAAAGTACAAAAGACTTTACCATATAATGAAATGATTCTATTACTGACACACTTACTTATTGTTATAAAGATCAAATTCTTCAGACATGCCTTAGTCAATGTTACATTTCAATGTTCCTTGAAATATATGTTTTTAGTTCATAACTTTTTGCTTCTCACTATACATTATCAATCTCATTAAAAAAATACACAAAAAATCACTGAAATATGGGTTTTATTCATGACATCTGGGTCACTTTCACAATACAAACCTCACAATGAAACATCATACAAACATAACACAAACACATACATAACTACAATTATAAATAAGAATGTACTACAAAAAGTTACATTAACTCCTAACAGAGACTCCTTTCACTTCTATCAGGTCATCTCCATCTCCCAAACTGATATTGACTTGTAAAACTCATTCCCATGCAGTCATTATTTACTGATTTAAAATAAGCTCCACAGATGCTGAAGATTATCACACATAATTATATTGTGAAAAACTGGACTCTACTTTGCTTTTTCATGACAGTCTGTGGTTAAGATCATCTTTCTTCTACCAATCTTCCATGTACATTTCTGTAATATAGCTATATGAGCTAGCAGTACACCATTCATGTACATGGCTTTCACTTTCCTTAAACTCACATACATGCAACACATTCCTGAATGAAAATCATGCATTGCTCAGCACATCAACAGTACTCCTATAGATCTCTAAATACAATTGTTTGTGAACACCACTGATAGCTAAACACCACATTATTTCCATATAAATGCACAAAATGGCTGCTGTAACTGATTGTTATTCAACTATGATGACATTCCTTACTGAGACAAAGAGAGCAGCACCAAACTGACCAATTGTGAGACTATGGATGCTGGAGTCGTACAAGGTGTGATAGGGTGTGGCATTCAGACAATGTACCTTTTGAGGAAGACTATTGCAGACAAAAGACAGTCATTGACTGAACAATAATTGCAGCTGCTCAGCATACTGTTGTTGACCTTTTCTCGCCAATCTGTATAGCAGCAATTTAAACCTATCACCTACACAGCCACAACCTGACATTCTTTTAAAAACAAACTGTAGATGAAGAGTTGAGCTATTTGTGACTGTACGTCAAACTGCGTGCCACTGACCCCTTGTCGAATTCAGGTGATTTTCCATTAAGCGGTACTCATAACTTCAGTGTGCAATGTCCAATTTCCAATAAACTTCATATATTCTGTAACAGTCTCGCCCTGAACGCGTCCTCATAACATCAACCTACGTATTTCAGTCCCGCCATGAACTTGTCTACGTTACAAGAATCAGATACAGTGAAAGCACAGCATACTGGCAACAGGAAGGAAGCGCTGCGTGGCAATTTGGAGCTGATTTGGAGACGATTTACGTGACGTATTCGCGTTGCACTCCGCGCTTGTTACGACGGCACGTGCGTGGCCTCGGCGCACCCCGACCGCACGTGACGCGTTTGCGGCGCGCCCCGACGAGCGCCGGGTGCGAGGTCCCGCCCAACGCTGCTTGCAGCTTTAATTATTATTATTTTTAGCGGCTTTGCTCGCATTTTTCACCCCCTTAACGATTAAAATATTCGCATTTTATTTGGCACATTTGTCAAGCCTCATTTAAATTGGAGATTCTATGCGTCACATGCAGGTCAGCCACTAGGAAGGCCACTAGGTGGCGCTATTTGTAGGCCAATTTCGTTATGCTAATAACTCCCGCATAGTTTGTCTCACATTCAAAAACCTTATATCCACGCGTTCGGTGAACTGAGCTGAACCTCCCCATATAGGCCACGCCCACTTCCGCCTAGATTTTTTTTTTTCTAGAGCGCAAAATGTCCATAAATGTCTGTTCCGGGGAACCTCCTACACACTTTGTCCGATGCGCACGAAACTTTGCACGTTTCATCTGTGGACCGTCCTGACAACAAAAGTAATTTGAAGAATTTTGATATTATAAAACATAAGGAAGTTATACAATTAGCACTTCCTGTTGATTTTTCGTCAAAAAAGGAAGTGGGGTATTTCTCCACATTGGTATGTCCGATTTACACCAACCTTGGGTCCATAGTTCCCCATGTCTTCCTTAAGCATCGTGCACAATTTCAGGTCATCACCACAAGGTGGCGCTCTTTAAAATGAAGGAGTTTATAGCTCTACAACGGTATGCGTGATTAAGATGAAACTTGGTACGCTGCTTCCCCATGGTTCCCTGAGGCTCACTTAAAAAGGACAAAAAAAATACGCCACTAGGTGGTGCTCTTTTGGCATGATAAATCACTCGTAATAGTTATGAATATGAAATTCACAGGGTACGTGTAGAGTGGTGCCTGAAGCTCACATACCAAAAATCCTGTTTGTCCTGCTTGTAGCGCCCCCTACAGGATAAAAAAACATCAGCCCCGGCGCCACGTTTCACCGACATGTACGAAACTCAATAGGCATGTATAATGTGCCGGGGCGTACAAAAAAGCCTCTTGGACCCATACCTCAAATCCCACAGGAAGTCGGCTATTTTCATTTAAAATTTGCACTTTTGGCGGCCATTTTGTGGTCATTTTGACTCTTTGGGCTTGTTTTAGAACTAACTGCTCCTAGGGAATTTATCAGATCTGCTTCAAAATTGGTCAGTACAGTCAAAACATGGTGCTGAATGAACGCATTATATTTTGTGACTGTACGTTGAAGGGCGTGTCCGTGGCGTGCCCTCAAAGTTGGCCATTTAGAACAAATGTCACTGTGATGTCATTTTTGCATTTCAGGGCTTCTATTTGAATGATCCCCTCCTACAGCTTCTATCGGATCTTCTTCAAAATTGGGCAGTCCAGTCACAACATGGGGCTGAATGAACGCAAATTATTTGGTGACTGTACGTTGAAGGGCGTGTCCGTGGCGTGCCCTCAAAGTTGGCCATTTAGAACAAATGTCACACTGTGATGTCATTTTGGCCTTTCAGGGCTTCTATTTGAATGATTTCCTCTGACACGTTCTAACGGATCTTCTTCAAAATTGGGCAGTACAGTCACAACGTGGTGCTGAATGAATGCATATCATTTTGTGACTGTACGTTGAACGGCGTGTCCGTGGCGTGCCCTCAAAGTTGGCCATTTAGAACAAATGTCACACTGTGATGTCATTTTGGCCTTTCAGGGCTTCTATTTGAATGATTTCCTCTGACACGTTCTAACGGATCTTCTTCAAAATTGGGCAGTACAGTCACAACATGGTGCTGAATGAATGCATATCATTTTGTGACTGTACGTTGAACGGCGTGTCCGTGGCGTGCCCTCAAAGTTGGCCATTTTGAAGTCTGTGGTCTTGTATTTGAACAAACAAACTCCTAGAGAATTTATCAGATCGGCTTCAAAACTTGACGGGACTCTTGAATAATCTTGCTGATTACAAGTTGTGCTATTTATGACTGTACGTTGAAGGGCGTGTCCCAGGTGTCTCGTCAAAGTTGGACATTTTGAATTCTGTGGTCTTTTTTTTCAAAGTGATGAAACACAAACACCCCTCCACTCCCACTAGCCACATCTACAAACCATATTTCCTAGGGAGTATTGTTCGTGGAGCATAGTGGGAAACCGCTGGAAGTCACTTATTAAATTGCAAGATAAATAGGGGACTTATCAAATCGACTTCAAAATTGGACAGTCTTATAAAAACAAAGTGTACATGAAGAATTGAGCTATTTGTGACTGTACGTCAAACTGCGTGCCACTGACCCCTTGTCGAATTCAGATGATTTTCCATTAAGCGGTACTCATAACTTCAGTGTGCAATGTCCAATTTCCAATAAACTTCATATATTCTGTAACAGTCTCGCCCTGAACGCGTCCTCATAACATCAGCCTACGTATTACAGTCCCGCCATGAACTTGTCTACGTGACAAGATTCAGATAAAGTGAAAGCACAGCATACTGGCAACAGGAAGGAAGCGCTGCGTGGCGATACGGAGCTGATTTGGAGCAGATTTACGTGACGTATTCGCGTTGCGGTCCGCGCTTGTTACGACGGCACGTGGCGTGGCCTCGGCGCACCCCGACCGCACGTGACGCGTTTGCGGCGCGCCCCGACGAGCGCCGGGTGCGAGGTCCCGCCCAACGCTGCTTGCAGCTTTAATTATTATTATTTTTAGCGTCTTTGCTCGCATTTTTCACCCCCTAAACATTTACAATATTCGCATTTTATTTGGCACATTTGTCAAGCCTCATTTAAATTGGAGATTCTATGCGTCACATGCAGGTCAGCCACTAGGAAGGCCACTAGGTGGCGCTGTTTGTAGGCCAATTTCGATACGCTAATAACTCCCGCATAGTTTGTCTCACATTCAAAAACCTTATATCCACGCGTTCGGTGAATGGAGCTGAACCTCCCCATATAGGCCACGCCCACTTCCGCCTATAATTTTTTTTTTTCTAGAGCGCAAAATGTCCATAAATGACTTTTTCGTGTTCCTCCTACACACTTTTGTCCGATTCGCACGAAATTTTGCACGTAGCATCTGTGGACCGTCCTGACAACAAAAGTAATTTGAACATTTTTGATATTTTAAAAAATAAGGAAGTTATAAAATTAGCACTTCCTGTTGATTTTTCGTCAAAAAGGAAGTGGGGTATTTCTCCACATTGGTATGTCCGATTTACACCAACCTTGGGTCCATAGTTCCCCATGTCTTCCTTAAGCATCGTGCACAATTTCAGGTCATCACCACAAGGTGGCGCTCTTTAAAATGAAGGAGTTTATAGCTCTACAACGGTATGTGTGATTAAGATGAAACTTGGTACGCTGCTTCCCCATGGCTCCCTGAGGCTCACCTTAAAAGGACAAAAAAATACGCCACTAGGTGGTGCTCTTTTGGCATGATAAATCACTCGTAATAGTTATGAATATGAAATTCACAGGGCACGTGTAGAGTGGTGCCTGAAGCTCACATACCAAAAATCGTGTTTGTCCTGCTTGTAGCGCCCCCTACAGGATAAAAAAACATCAGCCCCGGCGCCACGTTTCACCGACATGTACGAAACTCAATAGGCATGTATAATGTGCCGGGGCGTACAAAAAAGCCTCTTGGACCCATACCTCAAATCCCACAGGAAGTCGGCTATTTTCATTTAAAATTTGCACTTTTGGCGGCCATTTTGTGGTCATTTTGACTCTTTGGGCTTGTTTTAGAACTAACTGCTCCTAGGGAATTTATCAGATCTGCTTCAAAATTGGTCAGTACAGTCAAAACATGGTGCTGAATGAACGCCTTATATTTTGTGACTGTACGTTGAAGGGCGTGTCCGTGGCGTGCCCTCAAAGTTCGCCATTTTGAACAAATGTCACACTGTGATGTCATTTTGGCCTTTCAGGGCTTCTATTTGAATGATTTCCTCTGACACGTTCTAACGGATCTTCTTCAAAAATGGGCAGTACAGTCACAACATGGTGCTGAATGAACGCATTTCATTTTGTGACTGTACGTTGAAGGGCGTGTCCGTGGCCTGCCGTCAAAGTTGGCCATTTTGAAGCCCGTGGTCTTGTATTTGAACAAACAAACTCGAGACATTATCAGATGTGCTTCAAAACTTGACAGTACTCTTGAATAATCTTGCTGATTACAAGTTGTGCTATTTATGACTGTACGTTGAAGGGCGTGTCCCAGGTGTCTCGTCAAAGTTGGACATTTTGAATTCTGTGGTCTTTTTTTCAAAGTGATGAAACACAAACACCCCTCCGCTCCCACTAGCCACATCTACAAACCATATTTCCTAGGGAGTATTGTTCGTGGAGCATAGTGTGAAACCGCTGGAAGTCACTTATTAAATTGCAAGATAAATAGGGGACTTATCAAATCGACTTCAAAATTGGACAGTCTTATAAAAACAAAGTGTACATGAAGAATTGAGCTATTTGTGGCTGTACGTCAAACTGCGTGCCACTGACCCCTTGTCAAATTCAGATGATTTTCCATTAAGCGGTACTCGTAACTTCAGTGTGCAATGTCCAATTTCCAATAAACTTCATATATTCTGTAACAGTCTCGCCCTGAACACGTCCTCATAACATCAGCCTACGTATTACAGTCCCGCCCTGAACTTGTCTACGTGACAAGATTCAGATAAAGTGAAAGCACAGCATACTGGCAACAGGAAGGAAGCGCTGCGTGGCGATACGGAGCTGATTTGGAGCAGATTTACGTGACGTATTCGCGTTGCGGTCCGCGCTTGTTACGACGGCACGTGGCGTGGCCTCGGCGCACCCCGACCGCACGTGACGCGTTTGCGGCGCGCCCCGACGAGCGCCGGGTGCGAGGTCCCGCCCAACGCTGCTTGCAGCTTTAATTATTATTAGGGACCGAGCCAGTATGAACTGGAAGGTCTCTATTGTTTTTCCTTCGTTTATTATTATTAGGGACCGAGCCAGTATGAACTGGAAGGTCTCTATTGTTTTTCCTTCGTTTATTAGGGACCGAGCCAGTATGAACTGGAAGGTCCATATTGTTTTTCCTATGTTTATTATTATTATTTCTAGTAAACTTCAACTGCGTTTTCCAGCCCCGTGCATTGACGAACTCTCAATTTTATTTGGCAGATTTGTCAAGCCTCATTAAACTTAGAGATTCCATGCGTCACATGCAGATCAGCCAGTAGGTAGGCCACTAGGTGGCGCTGTTTCGGCCGATTTTGAAAGGCTAATAACTCCCGCATAGTTTGTCTCACATTCAAAAACCTTATATCCACGCGTTCGGTGAATGGAGCTGAACCTCCCCATATAGGCCACGCCCACTTCCGCCTAGATTTTTTTTTTTCTAGAGCGCAAAATGTCCATAAATCACTTTTTGGTGTTCATCCTACACACTTTGTCCGATTCGCACGAAATTTTGCACATAGCATCTGTGGACCGTCCTGACAACAAAAGTAATTTGAAGAATTTTGATATTTTAAAAAATAAGGAAGTTATAAAATTAGCACTTCCTGTTGATTTTTCGTCAAAAAGGAAGTGGGGTATTTCTCCACGTTGGTATGTCTGATTTACACCAACCTTGGGTCCATAGTTCCCCATGTCTTCCTTAGGCATCGTGCACAATTTCAGGTCATCACCACAAGGTGGCGCTCTTTAAAATGAAGGAGTTTATAGCTCTACAACGGTATGTGTGATTAAGATGAAACTTGGTACGCTGCTTCCCCATGGCTCCCTGAGGCTCCCCTAAAAAGGAAAAAAATCACGCCACTAGGTGGCACTCTGGTGGCAGGGTAAATCACTGTGCGGATACTGTCATAGTTATGAATATGAAATTCACAGGGCACGTGTAGAGTGGTGCCTGAAGCTAACATACCAAAAATCGGGTTTGTCGTGCTTGTAGCGCCCCCTACAGGATAAAAATACATCAGCCCCGGCGCCACGTTTCACCGACATGTACGAAACTCAATAGGCATGTATAATGTGCCGGGGCGTACAAAAAAGCCTCTTGGACCCATACCTCAAATCCCACAGGAAGTCGGCTATTTTCATTTAAAATTTGCACTTTTGGCGGCCATTTTGTGGTCATTTTGACCTTTTGGGCTTCTTTGTGAACTAACTGATCCTAGGGAATTTATCGGATCTGCTTCAAAATTGGTCAGTACAGTCAAAACATGGTGCTGAATGAACGCATTATATTTGGTGACTGTACGTTGAAGGGCGTGTCCGTGGCGTGCCCTCAAAGTTGGCCATTTAGAACAAATGTCACACTGTGATGTCATTTTTGCATTTCAGGGCTTCTATTTGAATGATGCCCACCTACAGCTTCTATCGGATCTTCTTCAAAATTGGGCAGTCCAGTCACAACATGGTGCTGAATGAACGCATTATATTTTGTGACTGTACGTTGAAGGGCGTGTCCGTGGTGTGCCCTCAAAGTTGGCCATTTTGAACAAATGTCACACTGTGATGTCATTTTGGCCTTTCAGGGCTTCTATTTGAATGATCTGCTCCTACACGTTCTAACGGATCTTCTTCAAAATTGGGCAGTACAGTCACAACATGGTGCTGAATGAACGCATTTCATTTTGTGACTGTACGTTGAAGGGCGTGTCCGTGGCCTGCCGTCAAAGTTGGCCATTTTGAAGCCCGTGGTCCTGTATTTGAACAAACAAACTCCTTGAGAATTGATCAGATCTGCTTCAAAACTTGACAGTACTCTTGAATAATCTTGCTGATTACAAGTTGTGCTATTTATGACTGTACGTTGAAGGGCGTGTCCCAGGTGTCTCGTCAAAGTTGGACATTTTGATTTCTGTGGTCTTTTTTTCAAAGTGAAAACACCCCTCCACTCCCACTAGCCACATCTACAAACCATATTTCCTAGGGAGTATTGTTCGTGGAGCATAGTGGGAAACCGCTGGAAGTCACTTATTAAAAAGATAAATGGGGACTTATCAAATCCTTCAAAATTGGACAGTCTTATAAAAACAAAGTGTACATGAAGAATTGAGCTATTTGTGACTGTACGTCAAACCGCGTGCCACTGACCCCTTGTCGAATTCAGACCATTTTCCATGAAACGGTACTCGTAACTTCAGTGTGCAATGTCCAATTTCCAATAAACTTCATATATTCTGTAACAGTCTCGCCCTGAACGCGTCCTCATAACATCAGCCTACGTATTACAGTCCCGCCATGAACTTGTCTACGTGACAAGATTCAGATAAAGTGAAAGCACAGCATACTGGCAACAGGAAGGAAGCGCTGCGTGGCGATACGGAGCTGATTTGGAGCAGTTTTACGTGACGTATTCGCGTTGCGGTCCGCGCTTGTTACGACGGCACGTGGCGTGGCCTCGGCGCACCCCTACCGCACGTGACGCGTTTGCGGCGTGCCCCGACGAGCGCCGGGTGCGAGGTCCCGCCCAACGCTGCTTGCAGCTTTAATTATTATTATTATTATTATTTTTAGGCCACTTTAACTGCGATTTTTGAGCCTTGCGCATTTACACCCTCTACAATTAATTTATTTGGCAGATTTGTGAAGCCTCATTTAACTTAGAGATTCTATGCGTCACATGCGGGTCAGCCAGTAGGTAGGACACTAGGTGGCGCTGTTTGTAGGCCGATTTTGAAAGGCTAATAACTCCCGCATAGTTTGTCTCACATTCAAAAACCTTATATCCACGCGTTCGGTGAATGGGGCTGAACCTCCCCATATAGGCCACGCCCACTTCCGCCTAGATTTTTTTTTTTTAGAGCGCAAAATGTCCATAAATCACTTTTTCGTGTGCCTCCTACACACTTTGTCCGATGCGCACGAAACTTTGCACGTTTCATCTGTGGACCGTCCTGACAACAAAAGTAATTTGAAGAATTTTGATATTATAAAACATAAGGAAGTTATACAATTAGCACTTCCTGTTGATTTTTCGTCAAAAAAGGAAGTGGGGTATTTCTCCACATTGGTATGTCCGATTTACACCAACCTTGGGTCCATAGTTCCCCATGTCTTCATTATGTATCGTGCACAATTTCAGGTCATCACCACTAGGTGGCGCTCTTTAAAATGAAGGAGTTTATATCTCTGCATCGGCAAGTGTGATTAAGATGAAACTTGGTACGCTGCTTCCCCATGGCTCCCTGAGGCTCACCTAAAAAGGACAAAAAAAATACGCCAGTAGGTGGTGCTCTTTTGGCATGATAAATCACTCGTAATAGTTATGAATATGAAATTCACAGGGTACGTGTAGAGTGGTGCCTGAAGCTCACATACCAAAAATCCTGTTTGTCCTGCTTGTAGCGCCCCCTACAGGATAAAAAAACATCAGCCCCGGCGCCACGTTTCACCGACATGTACGAAACTCAATAGGCATGTATAATGTGCCGGGGCGTACAAAAAAGCCTCTTGGACCCATACCTCAAATCCCACAGGAAGTCGGCTATTTTCATTTAAAATTTGCACTTTTGGCGGCCATTTTGTGGTCATTTTGACTCTTTGGGCTTGTTTTAGAACTAACTGCTCCTAGGGAATTTATCAGATCTGCTTCAAAATTGGTCAGTACAGTCAAAACATGGTGCTGAATGAACGCATTATATTTTGTGACTGTACGTTGAAGGGCGTGTCCGTGGCGTGCCCTCAAAGTTGGCCATTTAGAACAAATGTCACTGTGATGTCATTTTTGCATTTCAGGGCTTCTATTTGAATGATCCCCTCCTACAGCTTCTATCGGATCTTCTTCAAAATTGGGCAGTCCAGTCACAACATGGGGCTGAATGAACACATAATATTTGGTGACTGTACGTTGAAGGGCGTGTCCGTGGCGTGCCCTCAAAGTTGGCCATTTAGAACAAATGTCACACTGTGATGTCATTTTGGCCTTTCAGGGCTTCTATTTGAATGATCTCCTCCTACACGTTCTAACGGATCTTCTTCAAAATTGGGCAGTACAGTCACAACATGGTGCTGAATGAATGCATATCATTTTGTGACTGTACGTTGAACGGCGTGTCCGTGGCGTGCCCTCAAAGTTGGCCATTTTGAAGTCTGTGGTCTTGTATTTGAACAAACAAACTCCTAGAGAATTTATCAGATCGGCTTCAAAACTTGACGGGACTCTTGAATAATCTTGCTGATTACAAGTTGTGCTATTTATGACTGTACGTTGAAGGGCGTGTCCCAGGTGTCACGTCAAAGTTGGACATTTTGATTTCTGTGGTCTTTTTTTCAAAGTGAAAACACCCCTCCACTCCCACTAGCCACATCTACAAACCATATTTCCTAGGGAGTATTGTTCGTGGAGCATAGTGGGAAACCGCTGGAAGTCAGTTATTAAATTGCAAGATAAATAGGGGACTTATCAAATCGACTTCAAAATTGGACAGTCTTATAAAAACAAAGTGTACATGAAGAATTGAGCTATTTGTGACTGTACGTCAAACTGCGTGCCACTGACCCCTTGTCGAATTCAGATGATTTTCCATTAAGCGGTACTCATAACTTCAGTGTGCAATGTCCAATTTCCAATAAACTTCATATATTCTGTAACAGTCTCGCCCTGAACGCGTCCTCATAACATCAGCCTACGTATTACAGTCCCGCCCTGAACTTGTCTACGTGACAAGATTCAGATAAAGTGAAAGCACAGCATACTGGCAACAGGAAGGAAGCGCTGCGTGGCGATACGGAGCTGATTTGGAGCAGATTTACGTGACGTATTCGCGTTGCGGTCCGCGCTTGTTACGACGGCACGTGCGTGGCCTCGGCGCACCCCGACCGCACGTGACGCGTTTGCGGCGCGCCCCGACGAGCGCCGGGTGCGAGGTCCCGCCCAACGCTGCTTGCAGCTTTAATTATTATTATTATTATTATTTTTAGGCCACTTTAACTGCGATTTTGAGCCTTGCGCATTTACACACTCTCAATTTTATTTGGCAGATTTGTGAAGCCTCATTTAACTTAGAGATTCTATGCGTCACATGCGGATCAGCCAGTAGGTAGGACACTAGGTGGCGCTGTTTCGGCCGATTTTGAAAGGCTAATAACTCCCGCATAGTTTGTCTCACATTCAAAAACCTTATATCCACGCGTTCGGTGAATGGGGCTGAACCTCCCCATATAGGCCACGCCCACTTCCGCCTAGATTTTTTTTTTTCTAGAGCGCAAAATGTCCATAAATCACTTTTTCGTGTTCCTCCTACACACTTTGTCCGATGCGCACGAAACTTTGCACGTTTCATCTGTGGACCGTCCTGACAACAAAAGTAATTTGAAGAATTTTGATATTATAAAACATAAGGAAGTTATAAAATTAGCACTTCCTGTTGATTTTTCATCAAAAAAGGAAGTGGACCATTTCTCCACATTGGTATGTCCGATTTACACCAAGCTTGGGTCCATAGTTCCCCATGTCTTCCTTAGGCATCGTGCACAATTTCAGGTCATCACCACAAGGTGGCGCTCTTTAAAATGAAGGAGTTTATAGCTCTACAACGGTATGTGTGATTAAGATGAAACTTTGTATGCTGCTTCCCCATGGCTCCCTGAGGCTCACCTAAAAAGGAAAAAAAATCACGCCACTAGGTGGCACTCTGGTGGCAGGGTAAATCACTGTGCGGACACCGTAATAGTTATGAATATGAAAGTTATTGGGCACGTGTAGAGTGCTGCCTGAAGCTCACATACCAAAAATCGTGTTTCTCGTGCTTGTAGCGCCCCCTACAGGATAAAAAAACATCAGCCCCGGCGCCACGTTTCACCGACATGTACGAAACTCAATAGGCATGTATAATGTGCCGGGGCGTACAAAAAAGCCTCTTGGACCCATACTTCAAATCCCACAGGAAGTCGGCTATTTTCGTTGAAAATTTGCACTTTTGGCAGCCATTTTGTGGTCATTTTGACCTTTTGGGCTTCTTTGTGAACTAACTGCTCCTAGGGAATTTATCGGATCTGCTTAAAAATTGGTCAGTACAGTTAAAACATGCTGCTGAATGAACGCATTATATTTTGTGACTGTACGTTGAAGGGCGTGTCCGTGGCCTGCCGTCAAAGTTGGCCATTTAGAACTAATGTCACACTGTGATGTCATTTTTGCATTTCAGGGCTTCTATTTGAATGATGCCCTCCTACAGCTTCTATTGGATCTTCTTCAAAATTGGGCAGTCCAGTCACAACGTGGTGCTGAATGAACGCATTATATTTTGTGACTGTACGTTGAAGGGTGTGTCCGTGGCGTGCCCTCAAAGTTGGCCATTTAGAACAAATGTCACACTGTGATGTCATTTTGGCCTTTCAGGGCTTCTATATGAATGATCTCCTCCTACACGTTTCAAAGGATCTTCTTCAAAATTGGGCAGTACCGTCACAACATGCTGCTGAATGAACGCATTTCATTTTGTGACTGTACGTTGAAGGGCGTGTCCGTGGCGTGCCCTCAAAGGTGGCCATTTTGAAGCCTGTGGTCCTGTATTTGAACAAACAAAGTCCTTGAGACTTTATCAGATCTGCTTCAAAACTTGACAGGACTCTTGAATAATCTTGCTGATTACAAGTTGTGCTATTTATGACTGTACGTTGAAGGGCGTGTCCCAGGTGTCTCGTCAAAGTTGGACATTTTGAATTCTGTGGTCTTTTTTTTTCAAAGTGATGAAACACAAACACCCCTCCACTCCCACTAGCCACATCTACAAACCATATTTCCTAGGGAGTATTGTTCGTGGAGCAGAGTGGGAAACTGCTGGAAGTCAAGTGTTAAATTGCAAGATAAATAGGGGACTTATCAAATCGACTTCAAAATTGGACAGTCTTATAAAAACAAAGTGTACATGAAGAGTTGAGCTATGTGTGACTGTACGTCAAACGGCGTGCCACTGACCCCTTGTCGAATTCAGATGATTTTCCATTAAGCGGTACTCATAACTTCAGTGTGCAATGTCCAATTTCCAATAAACTTCATATATTCTGTAACAGTCTCGCCCTGAACACGTCCTCATTGCATCAGCCTACGTATTACAGTCCCGCCCTGAACTTGTCTACGTGACAAGATTCAGATAAAGTGAAAGCACAGCATACTGGCACCAGGAAGGAAGCGCTGCGTGGCGATACGGAGCTGATTTGGAGCAGATTTACGTGACGTATTCGCGTTGCGGTCCGCGCTTGTTACGACGGCACGTGGCGTGGCCTCGGCGCACCCCGAACGCACGTGACGCGTTTGCGGCCCGCCCCGACGAGCGCCAGGTGCGAGGTCCCGCCCAACGCTGCTTGCAGCTTTAATTAGGGACCGAGCCAGTATGAACTGGAAGGTCTCTATTGTTTTTGCTTCGTTTATTATTATTATTATTATTTTTAGCGGCTTTGCTCGCATTTTTCACCCCCTTAACGATTAAAATATTCGCATTTTATTTGGCACATTTGTCAAGCCTCATTTAAATTGGAGATTCTATGCGTCACATGCAGGTCAGCCACTAGGAAGGCCACTAGGTGGCGCTATTTGTAGGCAAATTTCGTTATGCTAATAACTCCCGCATAGTTTGTCTCACATTCAAAAACCTTATATCCACGCGTTCGGTGAACTGAGCTGAACCTCCCCATATAGGCCACGCCCACTTCCGCCTAGATTTTTTTTTTTCTAGAGCGCAAAATGTCCATAAATGTCTGTTCCGGGGAACCTCCTACACACTTTGTCCGATGCGCACGAAACTTTGCACGTTTCATCTGTGGACCGTCCTGACAACAAAAGTAATTTGAAGAATTTTGATATTATAAAACATAAGGAAGTTATACAATTAGCACTTCCTGTTGATTTTTCGTCAAAAAAGGAAGTGGGGTATTTCTCCACGTTGGTATGTCCGATTTACACCAACCTTGGGTCAATAGTTCCCCATGTCTTCATTATGTATCGTGCACAATTTCAGGTCATCACCACTAGGTGGCGCTCTTTAAAATGAAGGAGTTTATATCTCTGCATCGGCAAGTGTGATTAAGATGAAACTTGGTACGCTGCTTCCCCATGGCTCCCTGAGGCTCACCTAAAAAGGACAAAAAAAATACGCCACTAGGTGGTGCTCTTTTGGCATGATAAATCACACGTAATAGTTATGAATATGAAATTCACAGGGTACGTGTAGAGTGGTGCCTGAAGCTCACATACCAAAAATCCTGTTTGTCCTGCTTGTAGCGCCCCCTACAGGATAAAAAAACATCAGCCCCGGCGCCACGTGTCACCGACATGTACGAAACTCGGTAGGCATGTATAATGTGCCGGGGCGTACAAAAAAGCCTCTTGGACCCATACCTCAAATCCCACAGGAAGTCGGCTATTTTCATTTAAAATTTGCACTTTTGGCGGCCATTTTGTGGTCATTTTGACTCTTTGGGCTTGTTTTAGAACTAACTGCTCCTAGGGAATTTATCAGATCTGCTTCAAAATTGGTCAGTACAGTCAAAACATGGTGCTGAATGAACGCATTATATTTTGTGACTGTACGTTGAAGGGCGTGTCCGTGGCGTGCCCTCAAAGTCGGCCATTTAGAACAAATGTCACTGTGATGTCATTTTTGCATTTCAGGGCTTCTATTTGAATGATCCCCTCCTACAGCTTCTATCGGATCTTCTTCAAAATTGGGCAGTACAGTCACAACATGGGGCTGAATGAACACATAATATTTGGTGACTGTACGTTGAAGGGCGTGTCCGTGGCGTGCCCTCAAAGTTGGCCATTTAGAACAAATGTCACACTGTGATGTCATTTTGGCCTTTCAGGGCTTCTATTTGAATGATTTCCTCTGACACGTTCTAACGGATCTTCTTCAAAATTGGGCAGTACAGTCACAACGTGGTGCTGAATGAAAGCAATATATTTTGTGACTGTACGTTGAAGGGCGTGTCCGTGGCGTGCCCTCAAAGTTGGCCATTTAGAACAAATGTCACACTGTGATGTCATTTTGGCCTTTCAGGGCTTCTATATGAATGATCTGCTCCTACACGTTCTAACGGATCTTCTTCAAAATTGGGCAGTACAGTCACAACATGGTGCTGAATGAACGCATTTCATTTTTTGACTGTACGTTGAAGGGCGTGTCCGTGGCGTGCCGTCAAAGGTGGCCATTTTGAAGCCCGTGGTCCTGTATTTGAACAAACAAAGTCCTTGAGACTTTATCAGATCTGCTTCAAAACTTGACAGTACTCTTGAATAATCTTGCTGATTACAAGTTGTGCTATTTATGACTGTACGTTGAAGGGCGTGTCCCAGGTGTCTCGTCAAAGTTGCACATTTTGAATTCTGTGGTCTTTTTTTTCAAAGTGATGAAACACAAACACCCCTCCGCTCCCACTAGCCACATCTAAAAACCATATTTCCTAGGGAGTATTGTTCGTGGAGCATAGTGGGAAACCGCTGGAAGTCACTTATTAAATTGCAAGATAAATAGGGGACTTATCAAATCAACTTCATAATTGGACAGTCTTATAAAAACAAAGTGTACATGAAGAATTGAGCTATTTGTGACTGTACGTCAAACTGCGTGCCACTGACCCCTTGTCGAATTCTGATGATTTTCCATTAAGCGGTACTCGTAACTTCAGTGTGCAATGTCCAATTTCCAATACACTTGATATATTCTGTAACAGTCTCGCCCTGAACGCGTCCTCATAACATCAGCCTACGTATTACAGTCCCGCCCTGAACTTGTCTACGTGACAAGATTCAGATAAAGTGAAAGCACAGCATACTGGCACCAGGAAGGAAGCGCTGCGTGGCGATACGGAGCTGATTTGGAGCTGATTTACGTGACGTATTCGCGTTGCGGTACGCGCTTGTTACGACGGCACGTGCGTGGCCTCGGCGCACCCCGACCGCACGTGACGCGTTTGCGGCCCGTCCCGACGAGCGCCGGGTGCGAGGTCCCGCCCAACGCTGCTTGCAGCTTTAATTATTAGGGACCGAGCCAGTATGAACTGGAAGGTCTCTATTGTTTTTCCTTCGTTTATTATTATTATTATTATTATTTTTAGGCCACTTTAACTGCGATTTTGAGCCTTGCGCATTTACACACTCTCAATTTTATTTGGCAGATTTGTGAAGCCTCATTTAACTTAGAGATTCTATGCGTCACATGCGGATCAGCCAGTAGGTAGGACACTAGGTGGCGCTGTTTCGGCCGATTTTGAAAGGCTAATAACTCCCGCATAGTTTGTCTCACATTCAAAAACCTTATATCCACGCGTTCGGTGAATGGGGCTGAACCTCCCCATATAGGCCACGCCCACTTCCGCCTAGATTTTTTTTTTTCTAGAGCGCAAAATGTCCATAAATCACTTTTTCGTGTTCCTCCTACACACTTTGTCCGATGCGCACGAAACTTTGCACGTTTCATCTGTGGACCGTCCTGACAACAAAAGTAATTTGAAGAATTTTGATATTATAAAACATAAGGAAGTTATAAAATTAGCACTTCCTGTTGATTTTTCGTCAAAAAAGGAAGTGGGGTATTTCTCCACGTTGGTATGTCCGATTTACACCACCCTTGGGTCCATAGTTCCCCATGTCTTCCTTAAGCATCGTGCACAATTTCAGGTCATCACCACAAGGTGGCGCTCTTTAAAATGAAGGAGTTTATAGCTCTACAACGGTATGTGTGATTAAGATGAAACTTTGTATGCTGCTTCCCCATGGCTCCCTGAGGCTCACCTAAAAAGGAAAAAAAATCACGCCACTAGGTGGCACTCTGGTGGCAGGGTAAATCACTGTGCGGACACCGTAATAGTTATGAATATGAAAGTTATTGGGCACGTGTAGAGTGCTGCCTGAAGCTCACATACCAAAAATCGTGTTTCTCGTGCTTGTAGCGCCCCCTACAGGATAAAAATAAATCAGCCCCGGCGCCACGTTTCACCGATATGTACGAAACTCAATAGGCATGTATAATGTGCCGGGGCGTACAAAAAAGCCTCTTGGACCCATACTTCAAATCCCACAGGAAGTCGGCTATTTTCGTTGAAAATTTGCACTTTTGGCAGCCATTTTGTGGTCATTTTGACCTTTTGGGCTTCTTTGTGAACTAACTGCTCCTAGGGAATTTATCGGATCTGCTTAAAAATTGGTCAGTACAGTTAAAACATGCTGCTGAATGAACGCATTTCATTTTGTGACTGTACGTTGAAGGGCGTGTCCGTGGCCTGCCGTCAAAGTTGGCCATTTAGAACTAATGTCACACTGTGATGTCATTTTTGCATTTCAGGGCTTCTATTTGAATGATGCCCTCCTACAGCTTCTATTGGATCTTCTTCAAAATTGGGCAGTCCAGTCACAACGTGGTGCTGAATGAACGCATTATATTTTGTGACTGTACGTTGAAGGGTGTGTCCGTGGCGTGCCCTCAAAGTTGGCCATTTAGAACAAATGTCACACTGTGATGTCATTTTGGCCTTTCAGGGCTTCTATATGAATGATCTCCTCCTACACGTTTCAAAGGATCTTCTTCAAAATTGGGCAGTACCGTCACAACATGCTGCTGAATGAACGCATTTCATTTTGTGACTGTACGTTGAAGGGCGTGTCCGTGGCGTGCCCTCAAAGGTGGCCATTTTGAAGCCCGTGGTCCTGTATTTGAACAAACAAAGTCCTTGAGACTTTATCAGATCTGCTTCAAAACTTGACAGGACTCTTGAATAATCTTGCTGATTACAAGTTGTGCTATTTATGACTGTACGTTGAAGGGCGTGTCCCAGGTGTCTCGTCAAAGTTGGACATTTTGAATTCTGTGGTCTTTTTTTTTCAAAGTGATGAAACACAAACACCCCTCCGCTCCCACTAGCCACATCTACAAACCATATTTCCTAGGGAGTATTGTTCGTGGAGCATAGTGGGAAACCGCTGGAAGTCACTTATTAAATTGCAAGATAAATAGGGGACTTATCAAATCCACTTCAAAATTGGACAGTCTTATAAAAACAAAGTGTATATGAAGAATTGAGCTATTTGTGGCTGTACGTCAAACTGCGTGCCACTGACCCCTTGTCGAATTCAGATGATTTTCCATTAAGCGGTACTCACAACTTCAGTGTGCAATGTCCAATTTCCAATAAACTTCATATATTCTGTAACAGTCTCGCCCTGAACGCGTCCTCACAACATCAGCCTACGTATTTCAGTCCCGCCCTGAACTTGTCTACGTGACAAGATTCAGATAAAGTGAAAGCACAGCATACTGGCAACAGGAAGGAAGCGCTGCGTGGCGATATGGAGCTGATTTGGAGCAGATTTATGTGACGTGTTCGCGTTGCGGTTCGCGCCTCTTACGAAGGCACGTGCGTGGCCTCGGCGCACCCCGACCGCACGTGACGCGTTTGCGGCGCCCCGACGAGCGCCGGGTGCGAGGTCCCGCCCAACGCTGCTTGCAGCTTTAATTAGGGACCGAGCCAGTTCACTGAACTGGAAGGTCTCTATTGTTTTTCCTATGTTTATTATTATTCTTTTTCAGAACATTGAGCGCATTTTTCACCCCCTTACCAATTATAATATTCGCATTTTATTTGGCACATTTGTCAAGCTTCTCTAAACTCGGAGATTCTATGCAGATCAGCCACTAGGTAGGCCACTAGGTGGCGCTATTTAAAAAGATCTTGAAAGGCTAATAACTCCCGCATAGTTTGTCTCACATTCAAAAACCTTATATCCACGCGTTCGGTGAATGGAGCTGAACCTCCCCATATAGGCCACGCCCACTTCCGCCTAGATTTTTTTTTTTTCTAGAGCGCAAAATGTCCATAAATGACTTTTTGGTGTTCATCCTACACACTTTGTCCGATTCGCACGAAATTTTGCACGTAGCATCTGTGGACCGCCCTGACAACAAAAGTAATTTGAAGAATTTTGATATTTTAAAAAATAAGCGTGTTATAAAATTAGCACTTCCTGTTGATTTTTCGTCAAAAAAGGAAGTGGGGTATTTCTCCACATTTGTATGTCCGATCGACACCATGCTTGGGTACATAGTTCCCCATGTCTTCCTTAGGCATCGTGCACAATTTCAGGTCATCACCACAAGGTGGCGCTCTTTCAAATGAAGGAGTTTATATCTCTACAACGGTATGTGTGATTAAGATGAAACTTGGTACGCTGCTTCCCCATGGCTCCCTGAGGCTCCCCTAAAAAGGAAAAAAATCACGCCACTAGGTGGCACTCTGGTGGCAGGGTAAATCACTGTGCACACACCATAATAGTTATGAATATGAAATTCACTGGGCACGTGTAGAGTGGTGCCTGAAGCTCACATATCAAAAATCGGGTTTGTCGTGCTTGTAGCGCCCCCTATAGGATAAAAAAACATCAGCCCCGGCGCCACGTTTCATCGATATGTACGAAACTCAATAGGCATGTATAATGTGCCGGGGCGTACAAAAAAGCCTCTTGGACCCATACCTCAAATCCCACAGGAAGTCGGCTATTTTCATTTAAAATTTGCACTTTTGGCAGCCATTTTGTGGTCATTTTGACCTTTTGGGCTTCTTTGTGAACTAACTGATCCTAGGGAATTTATCGGATCTGCTTCAAAATTGGTCAGTACAGTCAAAACATGGTGCTGAATGAACGCATTATATTTGGTGACTGTACGTTGAAGGGCGTGTCCGTGGCGTGCCCTCAAAGTTGGCCATTTAGAACTAATGTCACACTGTGATGTCATTTTTGCATTTCAGGGCTTCTATTTGAATGATGCCCTCCTACAGCTTCTATCGGATCTTCTTCAAAATTAAACAGTCCAGTCACAACATGGTGCTGAATGAACGCATTATATTTTGTGACTGTACGTTGAAGGGCGTGTCCGTGGCGTGCCCTCAAAGTTCGCCATTTTGAACAAATGTCACACTGTGATGTCATTTTGGCCTTTCAGGGCTTTTATTTGAATGATCCCCTCCTACAGGTTCTATCGGATCTTCTTCAAAATTGGGCAGTACAGTCACAACATGGTGCTGAATGAACGCATTATATTTTGTGACTGTACGTTGAAGGGCGTGTCCGTGGCGTGCCCTCAAAGTTGGCCATTTAGAACAAATGTCACACTGTGATGTCATTTT